TATGAGATGTTGTCTATGTGTCACATAATGGTAGGCAGGAGCAACATGAGGATGACTGAACTGGTATCTGCGACCACACAGGGCTGAAGGACAGAGGGAAAACTGGAGTAGAATGTGGTCTACCAGAGAGGTATGAAGGGAATCCCATGAGTGCCCAGAGGAAGCAGGGAGCACTTCTGCCAGGGGCTGGCATTGAGGTGGAGTGGGTAAAGCCCCCTCCTGCAATCCCAGCACCCCATATGCATGCCTGTTCAAGTCCTGGTTGCTCCACCTATGATTCGACTCCCTGATAATGGGCCTGGGAATGTAGCAGATGATCCAAGTGCTTCAGTGCTTGTACCAACATGGAAGACCTAGAAAAATCTCCTGGCTCCTGGATTTGGTTTTGGCTAAGCTCCAATGATTGCAACCATCTGAGGAGTGAACTAACAGATGGAAGATCTCTCTCTCTGAATCTTCCTCTCTCTCTTTCAAATAAATAAAGTAAATCATTAAAATGAAGAAGGGCTTCATCAAGGAGAAAATACACACATAAAGTCTTACATGGAAAACTGACCTTGAAGAGGAACAAAAAGGACACTCCAGACCAACAGGACCCAATGTGCAAGTCAGCAAAACTTAAGCACCACACAGTGGGACCATGGGACTCCAGCAGCTCCATCTGCCTGCAGAGCTGGGTGCTTTTCAGGGAGTGGCCTGAACTGAAGCTGGACAGGCAGGCTACAACAGGGTGACAAGGTGTAGCATGTGCCAAGCCAACTAGTCTAGACTTTGTTATATTTGCAACATAGCATGTTCTCAGTTGAGAGACACCCTGCCTTTGCCATTACTGCGTAACACCTTTGCTTGCCTTTTTTTTTTTAAAGGTTTATATATTTATTTAAATCACAGAACTGTGGGGGGGAGGGGAGAAAGGGAGACAAAGAGACTGAGAGACATCTTTTATCCACTGATTCACTCCCAATAAGGCCACAATAAAAGGTTGAGCAAGGATGAAGTCAGGGGCTAAAGACTCTAGCTGGGTTTCACATATGAGTGGCAGAGACCCAAGTGCTTTGGTCATCTTCCAGTATGCATTAGCAGGAAGCTGAATATGCAGTGGAGCACCTAGGACTAGAGCCAGCCTCTAATATGGGATCCTGGTATCGCAAATGGAAGATTAATCCACTATGCCACAGTGCCCTCCACTTTTCAGCAGGTTGCCCTTTGTCAGCTTCCACATTCTTTTTTCAAAATTCAAAGTTATAAAGAAAGAAGGAGACAGAGAGAGAAAGAGATGGAGAGAGATCTTTTAAACACTAATTCACTCTCCAAATGGCTGCAACAGCTAGAGCTAAGCTGATCTGAAGTTAGGAGCCAGGGGCCTCCTCCAGGTTTCTCACACAGGTGCAGGAAACCAAAGACCTGGATCACCCCATCACCTTCCCAGGCCATCAGCATGGAGCAAGATTGGAAGTGGACATGCGGGACTGCAATCGGTGCCCATACGGGGTGCCAGCACCACAGGCTTAGCCCTCTACACCGCGGTGCTGGCCCCTAGCTTCCGTATTCTTGTAAGAGGCAAATAATGCCGTCGAAAGCAGGCTGTACACCTGACATCCTTCCTCATTCTTCATCCACATCCATTTAGCTGTCAAGGCCTATGACTATTTTGTTACAAGTGCATTCTTTTTTCACAAATCAACCATGGACTAAGAATGTACCTGTGACAGGTTCTAGATTAAAGGCTTTATTTACACCATGCTACTCACAGCATCCCTGTTAGGTCACATTTTAGTTAGAGTTCTATGGCAAAAAGCAGGCAACTTAAGCAGAAAAGAAGTACTGGTGTGGTGGTTTAGTAGACTAACCCTCTATCTCCAGTTCTGGCATCCCCTAAGTAAGCCAGTTTGTGTCCCAGCTGCTCCACTTCCCATCCAGTTCCCTACTTGTGACTTGGGAAAAGCAGCAGAGGATGGCCCAAATCCTTAGGGCCCTACACCCACATGGGAGACCCAGAGAAAGCTCCTGGCTCCTGGCTTCAGTTCAGTTCAGCTCTGGCTGTTGGGGAGTAAACCAGTGATTGGATGGAAGAGTTTCTCTATCTCTCCTTTTTCCATAAAATCTACCTTTCCTATTATTTTTTAAAAGCAGGAAAGGCACTTACTGAAATTGTATCAGACAATACCAGGCAACTCAGAGTAACTATAGGAAGGTGAGGGCTAGCTTAGGAGAGGAGCCAAGGGAAAGTAAGGCACTGATAACCTGCAGGATAGCCCCGCAGCTTTCAACATTCTGAAACTGATCCCAGTGCCTTTGCATCACCACTCTCATGTGCAGACAGCTGAGTCAGCATCAGCAGACCTTGCCTGGAGACCTTGCCTAGCTCCAGCTGCCAGAGGCAGGCAGAGGAGGAATTTCCCTCCCTTGTGGCTCCTCACTTACATCCAGCTTCCCTCAAAGTAGGAAGGCTATTTAGCCAAAATGGCAAGCACTACCACTGTATTATCATCGCCTCCAGTTTGTGGATGGAGGAACAGACTTAGGGCAGATAGCTCAGTTGCCCAACTAGCAGAGCTGGTCATTGGTAGGGCCAGGTAGAGCCCAAGTCAGTGTGTCTGCAAAGTCCACGTTGTTGTGCAATTGGCTGCACTGCCCTCTGTAAAGCAGTCCAGCTCTATTTCATAGCCCACGCACTAGTCGGGGCTCCCATCATCTCGTTTGCATTACTGCCTCCTACCTGCTCTCCCTGCTTTGTGCCTCCCCCACCTCAGTTCATCTCTATTCTGTTGCTAAGATCATATTTTTCAAAGACCATCTACATCTTGCCGCCAGCCCTCTTGTTCAAAAATCTGTGACTCACTCCTTCGAGAGCCTGCCCTGACTAATACCATTCCACACTGATCACTCCCTCAGTCATTCGTCACTTGCTGCTGTGCCATCACAGAGGTCTAATTTATATTACACTATCTAACACTTATTAATAGCCTCAGGCTGTTGCCTCCATGTCTCACTTCACCAAGGTCACAGAACCTGTTTTCTCCACGTTGGCCACTCTAATGCTAAATAATTGCACCTAACACCGTGTGCACTCCATCATTGAATCCCAGCCTCCTACAGAAAATTTGCATTACTCTCACCATTATTTGTAGGGACCTTCATGTGCTCAATGCATTACTGACCTCCCTAAAATTGCCTAGTTCTCTGGCTGCTGCATACTATGAGCTACCTAGAATAAATGTATCTAAAAACTGTGGGTCATGGGAGCCAGCACTGTGGCTTGGCTGGTTGATCTACCTGCAGGCACTGGCATCCCATATGGGCACTGGTTTGTGTCCTGGCTCCTCCACTTCACATCCAGATCCCTGCTTGTAGCCTGGGAAAGCAGCAAAGAACAGCTCAAGTTCTTGAGACCCTGTACCCAACATGGGAGACCCAGAAGAGGTTCCTGGCTTCAGATTAGCTCAGCTCTGGTCATTGTGACAATTTCGGGAGTGAACCAGGGGTTCACTTTTTTCTAAATGTTGAATTTTTTAATCTCTCTCTTTGTAATATTCTATTATTACTATTACTATTTATTCTCAGATTCAGTAAATTGAGGAAAATGAGTGTGTTATACTTTTCTCAGAGTTGTTGAGGCCAGAGTGAATCACATTTAATGCATGTTCTTTCCCCTTTCTGGTTAGGGCTAATAAATAAACACAGAGTATAGCATGCCATACTTCACTTTCCTAGTCAAGTTACCAGGTTGAGCCTCATCTAGGAAAGGCTCCGGCTGATTCCCATCTTTATTTGGCAGATGGTCTCATTAGCAGCTAATAATAGTGGACTTCATACTTGCCAATATCTTTAGATCCCTTAAATTCAGACCAAATATCCCAAGACCAGAGAGACTCAGCCAGTTCACCTCCCATCCTGACACATAGCACAGCAAAAGGCTCACTAATACGGGAAATAGATTCCTGAGAAACAGGGTCATTTCTATACCTATAAAGATGGAGAACAGCTTTTGGAATTGGCTTACTGGCAAGGTTTGAAGCATCATCATAAAATTACACCAGATCGTTGTAGACCAATTGTTAAAGATGATTCTGATGCTCAGAAGGCATAGACCATGCTGATGAGGTTTCAGACAAAAATAAAGATTCTCTTTGGAACTGGACTAATGGCCATGGCAAAGAGCCTGGCTGTGTAGTGATGGACTAGTTTGCCTGGTGGAGGAAATTTCCAGGCAGTAACACTCCATCTACAGCATCGATGTTGTTGGCAGCGGCTAGTCAGTCTTGCAGTGAAAATCAGGAGCATAAGAGAAATATTTGGAACATTCACAGTGGACTTGAGAGGCAAGGAAGAACAAGCTTATTCTGGGACAGGAAAGAGAGGTGGAGAAATCACTTGCTAAAGAGATTAGCATAAGCTGAAGTGTAGCCTCGTGATAATATGCGAAAACAAACAAAGAAAACAGCAAAAGATCTCAAAGGCATTTCTGAGATCTTTGAAGCTGCCCTTCCCATCATGGGTCCCCTAAGTTTAGGAGCACAAAATGATTTCAAGAAATTTCAGGGCATTTTCTAAGAGCTTGCATAAACACCCCAGGGATGCAGTTGTGATTGACTCTAGCAGGTCCAGAAGGGGCTTGAGCTGCTGGCAGACATTGGCAGTGCCCACATGGTGCTGTTTTTCCAGGGGTATAGGATGCAAGAGTTGGAAGTTTGTGGTGGCTTCTATGGAGATGTAAAAGGAAAATTTGGGGAACCAGGCCGAATCATACTGCATGGCTGGAACCCCTGTGTGGACCCCCTGAGGGAGCAACACCTATTGAAGTTGTGGGAGTGAAGCCAGTGGGTAGAATCCAGGAAAGGAAGGCAACCAGCAACATGCTACTGCTACTTGACAAAGCAGCAGACATCTGCATGTAGCCCTGGAGGGCCACTGTGTGGCCCAAGAACATCAGAGCCAGGGAGGCATGGAGGACTACACCTAGATTTCAAAGGCTGTCTCAGACAACCTGGGGGTCCAACCTGTTCCAGGAGCAGATCCAGCGCAGGGCCCTCACTGTGGCAATGCCAAATGGAAATGTGAGAGTGGAGCTGCTGTCACCACCATGGCCACGTCCAGCACTACAGGGACAAGGTTCCAACCTGTAAGAAAGATAAGAAAAGCCCCTGTCACAGTGTGCCAAGATGCTAGTCCAGGAGCTTTAGGATTAAATGTGTGCTCTACCAATTTTCAATCTTGCTTTGATCTGCTTAATCCTTTCAGTTCGCTTGTTCTCTCCTTTTGAAATGAAAATGTATTCCCTTTATGACTGTTCCACCATTATATCTTGAAAGTACATAACTTGTTTTTCATTTCCCAGGGGTTCAGAGCTCAGGGAGTTTGCCTTGAGTCACAGCTAAGGCTTTCAACTTTATACTTTTGAATCACTGTTGGGCTGAGCTAAGACTGTGGAGCCATTGGGAACAGAATTATGTGTGTGAAGGATGCAGGTTTCAGGGAGCTGGGGATAGAATACTTTCAGGATATAATACTTGAACAGGATTCACTTGAACTCACATGCACATTAAACCCCAAGGTCATATGTTAGTGGAACCAAGAGAATGAAAACAACCCAATTATGGTGGTCAGACATGGAGCCTAGTGAGAGATCTTTGATTATTGTGGGTAATGCCTTGGAAGGAAGGTTTTATGACAGGGGTGGTTGTGAGAGATGAGTCTGGTCAAGTTGCTCTTTATTTTTTTTAAAAAAGATTTATTTATTTTTATTGCAAAGTCAGATATACAGAAAGGAGGAGAGAGAAAGACCTTTCATCCGATAATTCACTCCCCAAGTGAGCGCAATGGCCGGTGCTATGCCGGTCCAAAGCCAGGAGCCAGGAGCTCTTCCAGGTCTCCCAAGTGGGTGCATGGTCCCAAGGCTTTGGGCCATCCTCGACTGTTTTTCCAGGCCACAAGCAGGGAGCTGGATGGGAAGTGGTGCTGTTGAGATTAGAACCGGTGCCCATATGGGATCCCACTGCATTCAAGGGAAGGACTTTTGCTGCTAGCCTACCACGCTGGGCCCTGCGCTTTCTGTTTATTGGCTTTTTGTCATAGCTGTCTATCAATTGCCATCCTTCAGCTCTGCCAGTCAGCTGAACAAACATGGCTCACTTGACATTGATTTGTGAATATCTTATACTGTGAACTTTGTCTTCATAAATAGCTTGCCTCAGGTATTTAGTTAGAGTAACAAAATGTTGACTATAGTGAATATCCTCCAGTCTAAGCAGTAAAGCCTTGGTGTTTTTCAGAATTATTAGGTGAGGGAGGATTATGTCTAATTAGAAAGAAGCCCAGGACTCTGTTGTAATAGTTTGGTAAAAAGATGCTCTCCCTGGTACTGATATGGAAAAGGAACCACAGAAACCTAAAATCTAAAACCTATTGCATTCAATTTTATACTTCAAAGGGAACTAATCAGATGATAAAGACATACACGGAACTAAGGGAATTGCAAAAAAAGGACCAATGACCTCACCAGAGTTGGATTAACTGACTGCTGCTCTTCCCTTCATTATTTGAAAAATTAAATAAAATAACTTAAAACTAAAATCAATCTGTGTAACCTGTGTTGTGGTACAACACGTTAAGCTGCTGCGTACAAGGCCAGCATCTTGTTTAACTACTGGTTTGAGTCCTGGCTGCTCTACTTCTTATACAGCTTGTTGCTAATGTACCTGGAAAGGCATTGGAAGTGCTTGGGCCCCTTACAACCAAACAGGACACCTGGATGGGGTTCCAGGTTCCTGACTTTGGCCTGGCCCAGTCCCAGCTATCACTGCTGCCATTTGGGCAGTAAACCAGAAGATGAAGACTCTCTCTCTCTCTCTTTTTCCTTTTTTCTTAACACTATAAAATATGTATTGAGGATGCTTTTTAAAATTAATCTTTTTAAAAAGCTTTTAAATAAATGAATCTTTATAAATAAATAAAATCATTCTACTTTCAGGAGATAAGGAGTGGGACATAGGATTGTAGGAGGAACCAGATAATGAGCATAGATTCTATTCTAGAGACATTAACAGCTCCTGAATACTTTAGGCTTTGTTAGGTGGTAACACGATCTGATGAAAGTCTTGAATTACCATAGCAACAATGAGATGAATGATATGGAGAGAGAGATTGGGGACAGTAGGAAACTAGGTCATATTTTCACTTCCTTTGTCAATTCCACTAAGGGGTGCCATGACTAGCTCTTTATTGTACCAACCCAAAAGAGAACCAACTTTTTCAAAATGCTTAATCTGGAGTAAGCATTTGGCCTTGGCATTTAAAAAATTAACTTATTTGAAAGGCAGAGCATGAGCATTAGTGATGAGAGATGCAGAGACAGTGAGAGATTGAAATATTCCATCCACTATGTTTACTCCTGAAGACTTGGTCAGGCTGAAGCCAGGAGCCAAGATTCCATTTAGTTCTTAAACAACTTAAGGATGGCAAGGGCCCAACCACTGAGATAATCTTCTTCTTCCTTCCCAGGCACACAACAGGAAGCTGGATCAGAAGCAGAGCAGCCAGGACTAGAATAGGCACTTCAGCATGGGATATCAATGCCAGGAGTGGTGGCTTAACTCACTGTGTCACAAAGCCAATCCCAACCAACATAGTTTCCAAAGTCTTCAATAGCAGATGTACTTTTTCGATCAAATGCCCTTGTACTTGGGATTTGCTTTTTTCCGGATATTCTTCTTTTTTTAAGATTTATTTATTTTTATTGGAAAGTCAGATAGATATACAGAGAGAAGGAGAGACAGAGAGGAAGATCTTCTATTCAATGATCACTCCCAAAATGGCCACAAAAGCTAAAGCTGAGCTGAACCAAAGCCAGGAGCCAGGAGCTTCTTCTGGGTCTCCCACACGGGTGCAGAGTCCCAAGGTTTTGGGCCATCCTGAACTGCTTTCCCAGGCCACAAGTGGGGAGATGGATGGGTAGTGGGGCTGCCAGGACATGAACCGGAGACCATATGAGATCCTGACGCGTGCAAGGTGAGGACTTCAGCCACTACGCTGCCACACCCATCCCTTTCCCGGATCTTCTGAGGAACACACTTCATCACCCAAAATTCTTGCCCCCTCTTACTTCAGCTCAGTTAAGAGCAAGCCTTGTGGTGAAATGAAAGCTATAAGGAAAGAAAAAGCAAAGAAGGAACAAAAACACATGAAACTCCCTTCCTTCCTCCACCCTCTCTCCCCGCCTCGCTTTTTTTTTCTAACTCACTATTTCATTCTAAGTTTGTTTCCCTAAGGTTGGTTCCTACTGCCACTTCATTCTGCCCTGCGCTAGTAATTCTATCGCAAGCATTTCAGGAGAAAAGTGTGATTTTGTGTAGGGGCTTGAGTTGCAGCTTGAAATGCCTGCATCCGACAAGAGAATGCCTGGTTGGGAGTCCTGGCTTCTCTGCTTGCAACCCAGCTTCCTTCTAACATGCACTCTGGCAGGCAGCAAATGGTGGCCAAGAACTGGGTCCCTGCTACCCATTTGGGGGAGCTAGATGCAGTTTCAGGCTTCTGGCTTTGGCATGGACCAGTCCCAGTTGCTGTAAATAGCTGGGAAAGTGATCCAGCAGGTGGAAGATATTTTTCTATCTTTCAAATAAAGCCAAAATAAATATATAACATTTCTAAAAGTTTCAGGAGAATTTGTTTTCCCCTGAAATTTAGGTAAATCAACTCTTCTTCATTGTTGATAGAAACGCAATATGGCACCATCATTTTGGAAGATGGTTTGGCAGTTTTTTTTTTTTTTTTTTAACAAACATAGTCTTAGAGCACAATAGAGTAATCATTTTGCTTGGTATTTACCACAATGTGTTGAAAACTTATGTTCACAGACATCCCTGCATAGGAATACTAATTACCACTTTATTAATGTTGCCAAAACTTGGATGCAACTAACATATCTTTTAGTAGGAGAACGGATAAATAAACTGGAAAGCACCCAGACAATGGAATGTTATCAAGCACTAAAAAGAAATGAATTATCAAATTAGAGAAAGGTGTGGGCGAAACCTCGATGCCTATTACTAAGTGGAAGAAGCCAGTCTGAACCACAGATTGCAACCCTGTGACATCGTGGAAATGGCAAAGCAACAAAGACCAAAAATAAAAGATAGAAACAAAAACGCAGTGGCTGCCAGAGCTATGGGGGAGAGGAGTGGGTAGGTGGAGTACTGGATTTTTTTAGGCCAGTGAAACCACTCTCTGAGGTACTGCAATGGGAGATGCATGTCATTACACATTTGTCCAAACTCACAGAATGCATGGCACAGAGAGTAGGCCCTGATGTGAACAGTGGCTGTTGAGTGGTAATGATGCATCAACCTAAGTCCACTGAAGTAGCATCATGGTGAACTTACATTGTCAGTTAGGGAGACTGTGCATATGCGGGAGGACAAGCATACTTGGCTTCTCTGTATTCCTGGTACAATTGTGCTATGAATCTAAAACAGCCGTAAAAACAAGATCCATTAAAAAGATAGATAGGGTCCGGTGCGGTGGCGCAAGTGGTTAAGTCCTCGCCTTGCACGCCCGGGATCCCATATGGGCGCCGGTTCTAATCCCGGCAGCCCCGCTTCCCTTCCAGCTCCCTGCCTGTGGCCTGGGAAAGCAGTTGAGGACGGCCCAAAGCTTTGGGACCCTGCACCCACGTGGGAGACCTGGAAGAGGCTCCTGGCTTCGGATCAGCATAGCATGGGCCATTGCGCTCACTTGGGGAGTGAATCATCGGACGGAAGATCTTCCTCTCTGTCTCTCCTCTCTGTATATCCGCCTTTCCAATAAAAAAAATAATAAAAATAAATCTTTTAAAAAAAAGATAGATAGATGGCAAGTAAGCAGATATGCGACGGTATACAGATGAACCTCAACTTAGCCCTTGTGTGTGTGATCAGTTAGCATACTCTTGCCTGGCTTTGGAGAGGACTGGGGGACGGTGGGGGAAGTGGAGTGAAAGACTGAGGCAAAAGCCTATAAAAAGGCTTCCAGTACCAGTGAGTAGAAAAGCTGGAGTTGCATTCTGTTACTTGGTGTGCCACAGAGGAGACACTGCTCTGATCAGAAACAGCAAGAAAGCCAGTGAGCTAGGCCAGAAAGAAAAGCA